ACATCAGCTTACAAATCAATTAAAACAATATTAATAACTCACCGTAGGTCTCTTAGCGCAAAATAAATAAATAAATAACCAGTGGCACACAGAAGAATGATGTCAATATTGTCAGACTTAATCAAGTGTAACAACCTCAGCTAGAACATGATCGTGTCCTTATTCAAGAGGCAGACACAAGCCGTGCTGGTAAAGCTTAACAACTTCTAATGTGTAATTACTTTCTCACTTATTAATATGAATATATAAAACCAATGAGGACGTATTCATATGTTAAAGGACTATTTTGTCAAACATCTGGGGTTAACCAGGGATTCGGTTTTGTCAGACGTACACACGTGGACAAAATAGTTGGCACCCCTCAGTTAATGAAAGAAAAACCCACAAGGGTCAGAGAAATAACTTGAATCTGACAAAAGTAATAATAAATAAAAATTCTATGAAAATTAACCAATGAAAATCAGACGTTGCTTTTGAACCGTGGTTCAACAGAATGATTTAAAAAAATAAACTCATCAAACAGGCCTGGACAAAATGATAGTACCCTTAAGTTAATATTTTGTTGCACAACCTTTTGAGGCAATCACTGCAGTCAAACCATTTCTCCAGCTGTCAGTGAGACTTGTGCTCCTCTCAGCAGGTGTTCTGGTCCACTCCTCATGAGCAGACTACTCCAGGTGTCTCAGGTCTGAAGGCTGCCTTCTCCAGACGCCATGTTTCAGCTCCTTCCACAGATGTTCAATAGGATTTAGATCAGGGCTCATAGAAGGCCACTTCAGAACAGTCCAGTGTTTTCCTCTGAGCCATTCTTGGGTGTTTCTAACTGTGTTTGTTTTGGGTCATTATCCTGTTACAAGACCCTCTGACACTGGGCAGCACATTTCTCTCTAGAGTACCTTGATAGTCTTGAGATTTCATTGGACCCTGCACAGATTCAAGACACCCTGAGCCAGATGCAGCAAAGCAGCCCCAGAACATAACAGAGCCTCCTCCATGTTCCACAGTAGGGACAGTGTTCTTTTCTTCATATGCTTCATGTTTGCGTCTGTGAACATGGAGCTGATGTGCCAAAACGTTCCAGTTTGGTCTCGTCTGTCCAGAGGACGTTCTCCCAGAAGCTTTGTGGCTTGTCAACATGCAGTTTGGCAAATTCCAGTCTGGCTTTTATATGATTTGTTTTCAACAATGGTGTCCTCCTTGGTCGTCTCCCATGAAGTCCACTTTGGCTCAAACAATGACGGATGGTACCATCTGACACTGATGGACCTTGACCTTGGAGTTCACCTTTAATGTCTTTACAGGTTGTTCTGGGCTCTTTTGTTACCATTCATATTATCCGTCTTTTTCATTTGTCATCAGTTTTCCTCCTGCAGCCACGTCCAGGGAGGTCGGCTACAGTCCCATGGATCTTAAATGTCTGAATAATATGTGCAGCTGTAGTCACAGGAACATCAAGCTGCTTGGAGATGGTCTTATAGTCTTTACCTTTAACATGCTGCTCTATCATTTTCTTTCTAATCTCCTGAGACAACTCTCTCCTTCGCTTCCTCTGGTCCATGTTTAGTGTGGTCCACACCATGTCACCAAACAGCACAGTGACAACTTGTAACCCTATAAATAGACCAACTGACTGATGACAGGTTTGTAGACACCTGTGATGCTAATTAGAGGACACACCTTGATTGAACATGTCCCTATAGTCACATTATTTTCAGTCTTTTCCAGGGGTACCATCATTTTAGTCCAGGCCTGTTTCATGAGTTTATTTTTTTAAATAATTCTGTTGAACCACGGTTCAAAAGCAATGTCTGATTTTCATTGGTTCATTTTCATAGAATTTTTATTTATTATTACTTTTGTCAGATTCAAGTTATTTCTGTGACCATTGTGAGTTTTTCTTTCATTAACTGAGGGCTACCAACTATTTTGTCCGTGTCTACCTCTACAGGTCGGCATGTGACCCTAAGCACGTCATCAGTCAGCACTACAGAGTCGGCCTCTAGTCCATCACATCGTTACATCTGTTTTTACCATTTAGCCATTAGTTAGCAAAACATTCCATCCATTTTCAAAATTCCTTTAGCTAGCCCTTTCAACCTCTAATACTTTTAGCTATTTCACCATTTATCCTTTAATCTAAGCTACAATTTCAATGATTTAACCAGCAGTTTTGAGCTATTTCACAATTTATTCTTTCATTATTTATTTATTGACTTATTCGTTCTTTTATCTAACAACATCAACTACTTATTCATCATTATTAGATAGCAATTTAAAACCTTCATTTGCTAAAAAATGTCAGTGGTTTATCCATGATCTTTGGCTTAAAAGTTCAGTATTATTTTTGTTTTCATTATTTTTAGCTAAATATTTTAACTATCAACCATTCTTTTAGCTGGTTTAATAATTTATTACTTGTGATTTTACTTTGTTCCATTAATTGCACCTGGAATCATAACTACATCCATTAATTGAATCTAACTATAGCAAACATGTTAACATTTATCCAGTTGTTTTAGCCATATATATATATATATATGGTTTTAGCTATTTCACAACTTCACAGGTAGCCACTATGCTCACTAACAATGTCAGCCGTTTATCCCATACTTTTAGCTCACACATTCAGAATTTAGTTCTCAGTTTTAGTTAACCATTGTAACAATGTATTCATCATTTTCAGCTTACTAACAGTTTTTATTGTTTATTCATAACATTAACTCACCCTTTTAATCATTTAACCTTCACGTTTACCCATTTTATCCATTATTTGAACTTCCATTAGGCTATTAATGACTTTTACTTTTAGGTAACCTTTCTGTTTGCTCACTAACTCATTCCTATACATTCTCAACACGTGGTTTTCAGGTGTCACAGCTGTCTATATGTTTTTATTATAACTTCTATGTTTCAGATTAGATGATCTACTCCATATTCTGTCCACAGTCTCCCACACAAAGTCCAGTTCAGTTCTACAGTATAAGTACTCCTGACTGGGAGTAACTGATCAAACCTTTGCAGCATAATGCAGGGCAGTGAGCTGGATGCCAGTCGCCCTCTGGTTTAGGTCTACGTGAAGCTCCTGCACCAGGAACCGCAGAGCCTCGTCCTGACCGGTGACAGAGACCTGGTGCAGCGGCTGAGCCCCGAGTATGTCAGATGCTGTCGGAGACGCCTGCAACACACCGGTGAGGTTTAGAGAATGCACAGAAATGTCTGTACCAACGCTGACACATTATACTCTACCTGGTGCTTCTCCAGAAGCAGCCTGGCCACAGAAATGTGTCCATTCCGGACAGCATCCATGAAAGGAGTGACTCCACAGCTGTCGGTGCCGTCTGGGGTGTAGCCACATCTGGAAGAGGACCAGTGATGGTGAGTCAGACAAAGTCGTCCCTGCAATTCATCAAGTATGGAGCTGTTTTTGGTCCAAACAGGTCAAATAGGCGTGAGTGTGGAAATCTTTCAGTGGAGTATGTGCTGTGTGTTCATTTACCACCAGCCACTTGTATACTGGCAATTTGGCAATCAAACCAGCAACCTCTGGGTCTTGTGTGTCTTATCAGCTGTATATGTGATTTTATGGTATTTTGAGCAGCAATTCTGTGAAAAAGGTCTGGGAATGCAAATGCCAAAGGTCACACAGAACATCCAGGGCTGACTGGAAAATTTGACAAATGTTGCTTTGCCTATGACGTAGTCCTCATCCAAAAGTTTAACCCACCTGTCCAGCAGGATTCCAACAACCTCCTCACAGCCATGCATTGCTGGATAATGAACAGAGAAAGTATTAGTCACAACTTGGTAGTTAATGTAAAACTTGCAAATCAGCTAACTGTTTACAACCACATGTCATAGCCTATCCTGGATGTGGGGATGTGAGGATGCTTCACCTGCAGTGTGCAGCGGCGTCCGGCGCGTCTTGCTCTCCGTCCTCCAGATGTCCGGCACAGCATGAAGCAGGTGCTGTACAACCAGAGGATCGCCCTCTCTGCAGGCGATGTGGAAAGAGTTCCAGCCGTCCTTGTTTCTCAGCGCAGGGTCAGCGCCGTGGCTCAGAAGCTCCTGGATCACACCGAGGTTCCTCCGAGTGCAGGCCATCATCAGAGGAGTCCTGGAAGAGCACAGGCACGTCGTCTGAAATCTAACAAAGCAGGTGGTCGCATCATAAGCTCACAGGCTTACCTACAACATGTTCTGCAGTAATTTGTAAAGACACTGATATACAGTATATAGATTCTATTTTAGAGAAGTAGGTTTAAAAAAAACAAAAATAAATGCCAGAAAGTTTTACCGTTAAATATTAAGTTAAGTAACTTTTTACAAAATCCAATAAACTGTAAATTGCACATTTTTCCATGCCTTTCAACTGGTCAAACTTTCAACGTTTTTGAATTATGAACTCCTTAAACATGGTACTGGCTTTTATTGCTCATATGCAAGAGAAACATACCTGCACTACTGAGCATTAACATGGAAGTCCAGAATGATTGCGCTTGTAAATGTTGTTTTAATTAAGTTCGTTATTTCAGTATCACAAAAAACACTAAGTTTGTATTCTCGTGATAAGAAGTAGATTTATCTTGTTATTTCCAGAAAGCAAAAGATCAGTTTCTCAGAGTCACTGCCTATATAACCTGAATTTCCCCAATGGGGATCAATAAAGTGTTATCTTATCTTATCTTATATGGAGCTAAAACAGAGACTGTATCAGTTGTCATTGAAAAAAATAAATAAAATAAAATGTCTGTTTCTGGTTCACAATAGGAGCCAATCACTCTCTGACACCCGTCATCTGTGATTAAAACAAATAAAAAATAAAAAATCTGAATCTAAGGTTGATTTGTTGTGATAACAAAGAAATTAACCCTTTATCACTGAGCTTTGTTACAAATGAGATGATTTAATAAATCAACACGAAAAATTAGCATTAAAATAATCATGACTGCTCTGGGCTTCCTTACATTCAAATACAAAAAAATAAATAAAACAGCTGACTATGAACCGTCCACATGATGTCCTGGAGGCCAGAAGGAGCGCAGTGAGAGTCATTCACCTGTAGATGAAAAAAAAAAAAGTCTAACAGTAATAGTTAATATCTGTCTGTACATGGTCATGTGGAAATAATAAGAACAACAGGGATAGATTTGATATGAGCTTACTGTGAAAAGTTAAAGATGCACCCCTCCAGATTTATTGGGGGGTGCATATTCTGGCAATGGGGTCTGCCGGAATATGCACCCCTCTCTATTTCTGACCCCAGAGGACTAAAGCCACCAAATTCACAACATTTATTGATGATCATGGTCTGAGCATAATCTGAAAAGTTAAAAATGCTGGGACCAACAGGGACAGATTTACTGGGAGGTGCATATTCTGGCAGACCCCATTGCCAGAATATGCACCCCCCAGTAAATCTGGAGGGGTGCATATTTAACTTTTCACAGTAAGCTCAGATCAAAACTGTCCTTGTTGTTCTTATTATTTCCACATGACCATGTACAGACAGATATTAAATATTACTGTTAGACTTGTTTTATTTTCATCTACAGGTGAATGGCTCTCACTGAGCTCCTTGAGGAGGTGGGGGTCTTTTTCCGGGACAACACCTGTACACTCGTTATATAAAAGGTGTCTCCTTCGAGCCGGATTCGAACCAGCGACCTAAGGATTCCAGCTGAAGCCACTACAGTCCTCCGCTCTACCAACTGAGCTATCGAAGGGACCTGGGGCCCCCTGGCGACACATCTCCATATAGCCAACAGCACAGATGATGACCAGGTCGTTTTGAAATGGTCTTTCTCACCAGTCCGCCTTCTTCAGACTGTCCACCGCTGCTCCTCGCTGCAGCAGGAAGCTAACACAGTCCTCGTGGCTCATGGAGGCAGCTTCGTGCAGCGGCCTCTTGTAGTCGTTGTTGTACACCTCCACGTCCATGTCCAGCCGCTGGATCAGGTACTCCACGATGTCCAGGTGTCCGTGTCTGGCAGCGTAGTGCAGCAGGGTGTCTCCCGAGCGGCCCCAGTGTCTGCTGCTGACCGCCTGCACCGCCTCTGAGCCGCCCGATGCGATCTGCTTCTCCAGAGACTCCAGCTGTCCCTCCTGGGTGAACTTCACCAACTGCTTTAACGTGTTTTCATCCATGCTGGCTGAAGGAGAGGCTGTCGCTGGAGCACTAAGTTACTTACCGCTCAGAGTGACGGTGGCCGGGAGCAGTGGAAGACATGCTGGAGGAGTGTTTACCTGCAGGAAATTAAATGGCCAACCATGACCTATCCCTGGACCGCTGCCTGTTCAACAGATACGAACAAACTGTATAAAAGATGGACTTAACAACGTGAAGCCAACCCGGAAGTGTCAAAAACCTGCAGGATCACTACGTCCGCTAGTTGCTGGCTCCAAAACCCCCCAGAGAGCACCTGTGGCTGCAGACCACCACTGTCAGTTCCCGCTTAGCCTCTCCTGCGAGGACCTTCCACTGTCAGGACAGGAAATTACAAACTAAAGTTGTGAATGCACTTCCGGTGGAATTGATTGTCGTGCTAATGCATTTGTATGGTTTTAATTTATGTATTAAACTTTTGTCTGTTGTCGTTTTTGTTCTGTTTTTTTCTTTTATGTTGTGCACGAGCCCCGCCGTGAGTTTTTATGCCTGTGAAGCGTATATTTATATCATAGACTGTATAAAAGATGGACCTAACAACCGGCCCTGAAAAATGAAGCCAACCCGGAAGTGTCAAAAACCTGCAATATCACCACGTCCACTAGCTGCTGGCTCCATAAAGCCCTGGCTCCCATAGACTGGAATTGGAAAAGAAGTGATCACAGATCACGAAATACTGCATTCCTACAGCTCAGGATTTTTTTCTTATTAGTTTTCATGGTCAAATCCAGAGATCAGGTGGCCAATCTGATTGATTTTATAAATCAAACTGTTTTGTTAAATGTTTATATTATTATTTTTGTTTGTTTTTTTAGGCATTTGTAGTTAATTTGTTTTGGAAAATGGAACTTTCAATGTGCAGTAAAAGTATTTCTGAAGTTCAGCCATTAATGTGTTGATGCTTTTTTTAATGGTTCATAGTGTGTATAAATATTAACAATAGCAACATGTACAGTTCTGTAATGACACAAGACTTTGCCAGGATTTGTACATTAATTACAAGGCTATGTGGATGATAAGTGTAGTCAATGGAAGCAAAGGAACACAAAGCACTTTTACATACAACTACCATATCTGTCGTTTAGAATAAAAGTCATGTACAAGTGTTGTGCTACAACAACATTTCAGAAGAGTCTTTCAGACAAAAACAAAAGGACATGCAATACCGTTTGTTAAACCTAGATGACCTAATAGACACATTAAAGAGTCTGTATGCCTAGTACATAGTTTTTAGAAACAGTAAACATCTGTTCCAGGAAATGGAACTGCTCAATTAATCACCTGCTAATCAACAACTGTAATGAAGTAAAAGGTAAGACAGAGAACCTCTGAATGCTAAGAACATAGATTAATAAACGTTTGAAAGAGCTGATCTGTCCTTCCATCAGAGGAAGCTGAACTGGAAATGGTCGACTCAGGATGTTGTTCATGCAGTCTTCTTATTCACAATCAGATGAATGGCACCGGATAAGGTCTTCCTTCTGCTGGCACCACTCATTCATTTCCAGTTTGGAGAACTCAGAACTTTGGAATTACAGTAAAAGACAAACACTTTGGTTAAGATGTAAGGAGCAGCGCCAGAAAAAGCTGCAAAGAGTGGAAAGAGGAGATTGAAAATAATCAAATGGATTCATTCTGCTTAACAATGTGTGGTGCATTTTGTTGTTTCAGGCATTCCTTTAAAAGGTGGGTATCTTATGACTCAAACACCTGAGACTTTAAAGCCAAAAAAAGATAATAAACATAATAAAGAGGGAAAAAAAGGGATTTTCTTAAAAAAAAAAAAAAAAAGTCATTTTTCCTCATATTCACCGAATTATGGCACTAAGAACTAAATAAAAAGGGTGACATCATGATCATGCTCTGTGTGCTCTAACAAGTAACGGATGATTTGAATAAATATGGCGTTCCACACATGCAGCTTAATTTTTACTAGTTACACCCTGTTAGGTTTTGTATTTCAGCTACTCTCACCATTAAATATTGGTGAATGTAGAAAATCTACTACTGAATTACAGCCTGTTGTCATCACCTAAAGGAAATCTGTTGGAAGAAAAAGACTTCACTGCTGTGCATTTGTAGCAGAGTTAATGATTCCACTTGCCATCTCTTTTCATAATACAATTACTTGCCTTATTTATAATGTATTAATTTCCCCACTAGATGCAATGTTGGTGCCCTCTGCTGGCCCCCTGCAGACTTGAGGGGTGCACCCCGTGTTACTTTGCCAGTTTGCTGTGTCCCGTCTCTGTGGGAGGTCGATCAATATTAAGCTCTGTGTGAAATGGTGAATAAGATTATTTTAGTGGTACATTTCTGGCTTGTGCAGGTGGTGCACTGGGTAAGATATAGTGCTTTTATATAGTGCACTTATGATGGACGAAGCCCTCCAGCTTTAAAAGTTTGGACTGTATGTGTTGAGCTGTAACAGAGAAGAGAAGAAGAATCTGTGTGTGTGTGTGTCTATCTTTGTAAATATATAAAGATGTCCTTTTGTTTTTTTCCTGCAAAATGCTTCTGTGACAGTAGTGGCTTGTTTATGGAAAATAGCACACCACATTACCGGTAACTGCTAGCTGGATTGTAATTACCAGTCATCCCCGTGGTGTCAATGCTAACAGTTAGCTGAATAACTTCTTCGTTTTAGTAATTCCCAGAGCTTATTATTGTGGTGATGGCTGTGAGACCTAACATCAGTGTCTTTTACCAGTATCCTGTAAATCTGTGAATAAATGGCTGGTTGGAGCCAAAGGACGAGCGGTCTGGATTTGGTGTATCACACAACGCAGAAGACAGTACACAACCGCTACACATTCAGACTTAACATTCAAGAATGATGTGTATAATAACAGTGTTGTTGATCTCAGCAATAATTTGGTGTTAAGCCAAGTGGGGTAAACAGAACTTCTTCTTTAAGTAATGAAAAGTAACAAGAGTCACATCTGTAAAGATGAGAAAATGTATATTATTT